GAGTCTGCAACGGCCTTGCTGCAGGAATACCCTTCCCCCTGGTAAGAAGGGGCAAGGGCCCTTAGAGCCTGGGCTGAACCCCCATCCTGCCCACCATCCCTGCTCTGCACCCTGCAGCCCTTCACACTCCCTCTGTTCTTGCCAGGGCTCTCAGACGGGGATGGGGCTCATTTAAGATGGAGATGAGTAGCTCTGGGCAGTCCGCACATTTCACAAGCAGTTCCCCTGATTCTGATGCAGGGGATCCTTGGAGACCAGATTCTGAGCCCCTGTTCCATGTCCCATTTGTTCAGATGTGTCTTTCTCCTGAGCACACTCCAGGTCTTCCCTCCCCATCACCTGGCCCCGCATCACCACCTCCAGTGTTCCCCAGCACAGCTATCTGAGGTGTCCCCATTCATCAAGACCAACTCAAATCTGTGAAGCCTTTGCTGACCCACCTGAGAGCAAAGATCAACCCTCTGCCCTCTGAGCATACCTCGAGCCCTTGCTGCTGATCATTGACCCTAACTAGTATCCACAGTGGTGAGGTCCCACAGCATACAGGTTGGAGCATGGGCTCTGGAGCCAGACACCCTGGCCCAGTCACATGACTCTGGGCGAGTTGTGTTCCTACCCCGTGAAGAGCCTGCGTCGAGAGGCTGATGGGAGGATCGCTGAGGGAATTCATGTAAAAGGCAAAAATTCATGTAAAATTCGTGTGCAGTACAGACCACGTCCTACATAAATGTTGACCGAGAGGACTTCCCGGTCCTTCCGATCATCTTCTCATATCAAACTTTTTATCTCTCTAATCACATTAGATGCTCTTTGAAGTCAAGGAGGATCTTAATCATCTTCATTTCTGGGTCACAGGGAGGGACACACGGCTTCCAGGGCACATGCTGGAAAGTGAGGCTCTCAGAGCCCCCCACCATCCTAGCCTGGAAGCAGCTATTCAGTATGAGGGGGGAACAACCCTCCCCACCCTGTCACCCCACCACGACATGGGAAGGGAGAGAGAGAGAGAGAGAGAGAGAGAGAGAGAGAGCGCGCTCACTAGTTGACTGGCTTTTATTCTTCGGAGAATGTTGTCCCTGTTTAAATTCTCCCCATCCTGTGCGAGGCCAGGAGGTACATTATCATGATGGATGAAGCCGGAGGCTCACTGGATCATGCCTTCTCCCCCAGCCTTCCAACCCCCAGACCCACGCGGTCAGGCTCCAGGTGATGGAGGCACAGAACCGGACCGACCCAGGCTGGCTTGCTGGGGCAGCAGAGGGGCGAGCCCGAGGGAAGCGGCCCTGCATCTCCTGGCAGGCCTCCGGGAGTGAACCCCACTGCCCTGCTTCTTCTGAAGGAGGAGCGCTCGGGGCCTCGGTGACACCTCCCCTCTGGATCTGGTGTGGCCCCAACTGCCCTCCTCTCAGGACAGCTGCTGCTACATTGTCATTTCTCAAACACCTGTGAAGCTTTCAAAGTCAAAGCCTCCCATTGGATAGGACTCTGAGAGGACAGCAAAAGCCGAAGAAACCCCAAAGGCCCCCGCGACAGGGTCAAGACAGGCCGTGTCCAACTGCCTCCCGGCTTCTCCGCAGGAGCAAGGGTCCAGGTGGCGGAAGGAACGGACAGGCCATTCGTTTCGCCCCTCGTCTACGAGAGGGGCCTGGAGAACCGCAGCGTTGGCTTCGAGTCCTCGGGGGGGTGATGTCTGACAGCTCGCAGGACAGTGTGCCCTGTGTGAGCTGTGGTCCCACCCAGCCCTCCTCAGTCAGCCTGCCCATGCCAGAGCCCCGAGACCAGGTCTGACCCGAGGACGGGCCCCACCACCAGGTGGAGCGGAAACCATCTTCTCTGAGGGCTCGGCAGGAAAGCCATTTAGGGAATTCTGGGAGCCAGTGTACTGATTTATGAGCCCTTCTGGTAAAATTGAGCCTCCGCGCCCTGGCCGGTTCGGCTCAGCGTTAGAGCGTCAGCCCGAGAACCAAAGAGTCACAGGTTCAATTCCGGGCAAGGGCACGGACCTTGGTTGCAGTTAGCCCCCCGGCCCTGGATGGGGCTGTGCAGGAGGCAACCAGTCCTTTCTCACATCAATGTTTTTCTCCCCCCCGCCCCTACTCCCTCCCACTCTGAAGATAAATGGGAAAATATCCTTGGATGAGGATTTAAAAATTAATTAAGCCTCCACTCCTGGGTATTCTTTAAAGAATATTTTTTTCTAGAAAATTCTGTCTTTCACCCCATCTACTCAAATGAAACTCCTCACCTGAATTTAGACCACCAGTATCGTGTTGCAGACCTCAGCACCTCTCCTGCTCAGACTCCGGGGGCTCACCCTCCCGGGGCTCACCCCAGCCTCTTGCGTCTGTCCCACCCACCCAGGAAGAGAGCCCCTCGTTCACTCCCATCCCCCTTCCCCAGGATCCCACTGCTTCAGAACCGGCAAAGGCACAATACCTTCCCGAATTCCCCTCTGTCCCGAGGCTTCTGAAACACCGGGAAATCCCCTTTCCAAAGGGACAAGTAACCATAGGGAAGGAGCAGTAGTTCACAGAAATCCAGCAGGCTCTTGATTTTCATTCAAAGGTAAGGGAGAGCCAGGGGGGAGCTTTCTCCACTCCTATCAAGGCCCTGCCCATAATTCTGGCCCAGGGACAGCCTTGCCCAAATGACCATCTTTCTTTCCCTTTCAGAGGAGGGGTTTCAGAAGGAAGGCTGCCCCCCTCCACATCCCCTCTTCTCTTCAGCCCCAGACGCGGGCAGATAGGCAGGTGTCAATTATGGGGGATTCCATTCCCTAAACGACTGTTTATTTACATATCAAGGAAAAATTAAGTCACCCTCTGGGTCATCCTCTGACCATGTCAGCCTCTGCCTGGAAAATAAAATCAGACCATCCTTTATTTTTAACCCACCCACCCAGAAGTGACCTTCTACAGATGGTTTGGCTGGTCTCTGTAATTTTTAGAGTCAAACTTCAGCCCCTAGCAACATGGAGGAGTCTAAATGCATTATGCTAAATGAGGAATTTAGGCTCAAAAGGCTTCATGCTGCGATCCATTTACATGACATTCTGAATGAGGCAAAACTGGCCTGACCAGAAGGGGACACAGGGAACTGTTTGAGATGATGGATTTGTTCTATTATCTTGATTGTGATGGTGGTTAGGTGCTTCTATGCTTTTGTCAAAACTCAAGGCACTGTATGCTAAAAAGGGCAAATTTTACTATATGTAAGTTACCCTCAACACACCTGACTTACAAAACGGACTTACATTTGCCGGTTCTTTCTGGAACAAGGCAAGGCATCAATGGCTGTCAAATTCTGGGAACTCATCCACCTCTGAAAGTGGGAACTGGAACTCTCTGGAAAAGCAGGTATGTCCAAGAAGAGGGTCAGTGGTCTCTGCAAAAGGTGCCTCATTTTGAAAGGAGTTCAGACCACAGGAGACATTCCTTGTTGGTTCATTCATTTGTTCATTCTCTCATCCAGCAGTGTTTATTGATCACGTCCTAAGAGGCAGACTTGGGGCTAGGCAATGCAGAAATGGCTGAGGATGGATATACCGCTGTCCACGAGAGGGGTCAAGTCCAGTGGTCTGGGGAGCGAGGCCCTTCATAGAAGTAAAGAAACAGTAGCGAAACAGGGGCCATGGAGTTCCGGGGAGGGGCACCCGACCTCATCCCCGCGGATCGGGAAGCTTCTGAGAGGAAGCAGCCTGAGTGAGTCAGCCAGGCAGGGCAGTGGGTGTGAGGACCTCCTGCCCCCGGATGCACACATGTAGATGCCCAAAGGACGGAGAAAGGGCTACATTTAAAAACTGTAAAGAGTTCATTTGGGGGGAGCTTTGAGGCCGAAGAAGGGCTTTGCTGCAGTCATTTCTGGCTCGGGGTTTCCTCCTGTTCCTCCTTGCTCGCACCAGCTGAGGCCCCACTCTGAGGCAGTGTGTGCCACAGGAGAGAGAAAACCGCTGTCCTAATGCAGGGCTCTCGGAATGCTTGTAAACAATACATCTTGGCTCAAAAAAATGGGTACTTGGGCTTCTGAACTTTTCATACGTTTTAACCTGCGTAATATTTTTACATCAGTAAAAAGGGAAATTCAAATGCCAAACAGGGGATTACGTCAGCAAATAACAAAACCATCTCCAGAATCTCGCTCGGAGCCCCTTGATCTGAATTGTCTCCCCTTGAATCCCAAATGGGTCTATTTTCTCACTTTAGAGAGATCGTTCAGCTCATTGGAATGGACATTTCCCGGGTTTTACTGCTGGGTGAGCGTTCGGAATTACGTAAAGAACAATCTCCAAATTGCCTGGCTATCTTTTCTTGTCTGTGCTAAAACACCTATGTGGTCACTGTATCGTGTAAGGTGGGATCCCACCCCAGACCACAGGTCATTGAGCAGTGGCTGAAATCAAAAGCCGCGTGCCCTTTGCCACCGTGTGCTGTTACCGCCCTGCGCCTGCACCTGCGCCTTAGGAAGCTGGCCTTACCATTCTCCGCGGGGGCTGGGCTCTGGCATCGCAGCGCAGGCATTCTGACCCTCAGCACCAAAGCAACTGGCTTGATTTCAGATGTATGGCTATGTCTGAGATTCAGCCACTGCATAAATTAAATGCCAGTATCTTGTCATTATTCTGCTGATGGCGACAATGAACTTGAGTACGGCTCTTACTTGTCCATCTTCTTACTAGATGAGGGCAGATTTGTTTCGCATAGTTACATCAAGCCAGTGCAGGATATCACTTCTTCTAAAATATTGATAGTCTGAATCCCTTTCTACACAGGAGAACCCCAGGGCTTCTTGAGATTCCCCCACCAAAGCCTTTGAGCCCCACGAACTAATCTGATCCCCTATAATCAGACCGCGGTTCACTAATGCCCCTTCCAGATCAGCAGGAAAGGGTTGAGGGTGAAGGGATCCTGAAGGGGGTCCTGTTTCCAGGTGATAAGAAAGGAGAAGGGGGAGGGAGGGAATCGGCACCACGGATGGATGGAACTGGGGACGTTGTCTTCCAGGGTTACCTGTCGGAAGGCTTGGTAACGAAGTGGTACCGGTCACCACGCCTGCTCCTCTCCCCGAACAACTACACCAAAGCCATCGACATGTGGGCTGCTGGCTGCATCCTGGCCGAGATGCTCACCGGGAGGATGCTCTTTGCAGGTAAGCTGCTAACCACGCGCCTGCCTTCACTGCTGGTGTCACTGTAGAAAAAGGGAGAACAAAGTACACAAAACGTGCCAGACGTTCTCTCTGAAATAACCTCTGTGGCTTTTATGGCACTACTTGGAGGCACCTGCTATCATTTCAGGCAAAATGCTTGAAAGACTAAAAGTAATCTTTGAGGGCAGACCTTTCAAAATCAGGTAACCGCTTGTATTCAAACACCTTGAGATTGACCGCTGAAAACATCCACCCTACGTTTTCAGCCTCTTCCTGCTCCCTCCCTGCCACTCTGAGCACTTGGTCTAGAGTGCTCACTGGGAGAGGGGACCCCACAAGGGGTTCCCAGAGTCCCTGAACTGACTGTCCAGAGCCCACTGCGGGGAGAGGCCAAAGGGGCTCCTTGAAAGCAGACCCTGACGCTATAGGCACCACTTTCTGGGTTGGCATTCACAGCATTTATATATGCTTAGTGCCACACAGGGCATTGTGGGGCACACGGAAGAGCCATGCCCAGGCCACCAGCTCCGGCAGACGGGAACCCCATAGGTGGTGAGGGAGGCCCTCTGTGCAGCTGCACGAGTCAGGGCACTCCTGGAGGACAGAGGGGCTTGATCGAGGATTCACCCGGGCAGAGGAAGTGGAAAGGCTCCTCCTGCAAAGAGAGAACATGTAAGTAATGGAAGTAAGAGCAGCCTGGAGGTCAGAGCGGGACAGCAAGGAGACAGACTTGACCCACACCAGCAGCGCCAGGGCTCTGATACAGGGCTCAGTGTGGCCTGGGTCTGGAAGCTGAATTGAGTTTCAGAGACGCATAAAGGCTGATGCTTCTTACAGATGAGAAAGGTACTTGTTCATAGCATCCAGCATGATGCCTGGCAGGGAGAAGGTGCTCAACAAGTAACTCCTTGTTGAATGAATGAACGCCTGACTCCATCCTGATCCACAGACCCGGCACAGAGGCTGTGTGCTGAGGACACACCCCAAGCCCAATTTATTATTCCTGATTTTCCCCACTTCTAATTGGAATCCTCCTAATTGGAAACCAAGGGGCAAGGCTCCTTCCTAGCCGTGAAATCATTTCCTTCCCCAGCCTGGTAAAGAACATGCAGAGAGGCACATGGGGAGGAGCACTTGGAAAGCCTTGGGCCAGGCTGTTCCCGTCACGTAGGGCTGGCTGACTCAGTCTATAGCAGACTGCTCCACTGCAGAGGCAGAGACATTTGCAAAGCCAAGCCCCAGAGAGGGCAAGCAATCTGCTCAGAGTTATATAGCAAGTTAGCAGCAAAGTGAAGACCAGAGCCCAGGGCCCCTGACCCCCAGCCCAGTGCTGTCCCTCTGTCCTGTGTTGCCCCTCCCAGGCCTCCTGGAGCCACGTTGGGGCTTCCACACACCCGGTCACGTTGGCAGCACACTTAACCATGTGGCATCTGCCTTCCCAGGGGCTCACGAGCTGGAGCAGATGCAGCTCATACTAGAGACCATCCCTGTGATCCGGGAGGAGGACAAGGACGAGCTGCTCAAGGTGATGCCTTCCTTCATCAGCAGCACCTGGGAGGTGAAGCGGCCCCTACGCAAGCTGCTCCCTGAAGTGAACAGTGAAGGTACTGAGCCCGAAGGCCCAGCCAGCACCTGGAGGCCGCACTCTGGCATCACCTGTGGGCGGGGGCAGGTGGTCTCCTTCCGACAGGACCAAGCACAGACCCTAGCCACAGAGGCGAGGCCCTCCCTGGCAGCCGGCATTTGCCGGGGCCACTCCCAGGCTGAGGACTGGCCCCTGGAGTCTGGCCAGCAGGCCACCCTCAAGGCAGCCATCAGTGGTCCTTATTCCACCCCTGACTTGCTTCCTTTTCGTTCTCGTCTTTCTCACTTGCCTTCCTCCTTCTCTTCCTTGATCCCCTTTACCTTTTCCTTCTTGGAAGGCATGGTGCCGAGAGCGTGAGCTTTTTCAGCTTGAGAGCCAAAGCCAGGTTCAACTCCTAGTTCCACCAGGGACAAGCTGTTTGGCCCTGGGCAAGCTACTTAACTTCTCTACATCTCAGTTTCCTTAACTGCAAAATGGGTGTAATAATACATATCACACAGGGCCGTTGTGACAAGCGAGTAAAATAGAATTTGTAAAGCCCTGGGCACCGGACAGTGGCTCTGTCATCTTAGATATCACGTTATCGCTGGGCCTCATGCCTGTCAGAGGCTTCCTTAGGAAGCTTCTATATAAGTAGGATATAGGTTCCGCCAACTGTAAGAGAGACTCGCATTCTCAATGGCTCAAATTTAATTCTTACTTAAGAAAAAAGAAACTAAGACATTTTATATAATATATATAAATAATATAATCTTATATAATAATCTTATATAATAATTGAAAAGCAGGCATCCAAGGCCAATATGGTGGACCTGCTCTATAGGACCCAGGGGCCCAAGGCCCTTCTGTCTTGTTCTGCCACCTTAAGGTGTTGCCCTTACTACCTGGAAGAAGGTGAGGAAGGAGAGCAGGTCCCCTTGCCCTTCAGGTCATGAGGCAGAATTTGGACACCTCACCTCCACTCATGTCCTGTCACCAGAACTTAGTCTCATGGCCCCGCCTCACTGCAGTGGAGGCTGTGAATTGGATACTTCTTTCCATGACACTTTGTGTCTATTGTTATGAAAGAGAACAGACACGGGGCACAAACTAGCAGTCTCTGCCACACTCCTCCATCAAGAAACCAAGACCGTGGACTAACCGTGTCTTTGGCCATGACCCCATTCAGGCGGTAAACTGCCTCAGTTTCTCCATCATTCAAAAGGAGGAGGGGTTATTTGATTCACCACAAATTAAGACTCAGCATCCGTATTTATTTTAATTCCTAGGCCTTGGTAGAAGCCATCATGTGACAAGAGGTATGTTCACCTCTCAGGAATTCTGGATCAAGCATGTGTCTCCCATGTCCTCTCCCCCAAGCAACCACCCAGCAGCCGCCCCTGGGTGACTTGGTTCTGAGAGGGTGGGCCTGGCCTCAGCACAGTCAGAACTGTGCCTGATGTAAGAGAAAGTCCCGCGGATAGACGCATCAGCCACCTGTTATCCCTCCATGGCTAGAGAACCGTGCGAGGAATAGAAATTCAAAGAGGCAGAAGAGCTGGGAAGACAGGGAATACCCACCAGAGATGAGAACGAAGGTTCAGGGACATGTTCTAAGAGGCCAGTGAGCCCTCTGGGCACTTGGGGAGGGGGAAGGAGCCACCAAGAGCTGAGAGGGCCAGGCTGGCCCAGAGGAGCGGTGAGGGCTAGATCAGCGGGATGAATCACAACCCGAGTGCAGGGCATGAAGCTGAAGCGGGAAGAAGGGCAGAGAGGCTGCAGGGCTTAAATGCCCAGCTGATGACGTCGGACTCAGTCCTTAGCTGAACAGATGTTCACTGAAGCCAGGCTTGCCACACTGTCCCAACATACCAACTTCCTCCCAAATTCTCCCATCTGGGGCCTTGAGCAGTACCCTCATGCAGCCTCTGGCCTTAGGGTAACGAGGTATCTAAAGTGGAGTATCGGGGAGAAAGGGCATTCAAGCCCACCTGCCTAGGAGAGCCAGTTGGTGACCCCCGTTCACTCCCCCTGCTATGCTTTTGAGGCCCCACAGACCTGGGAAGCAGCAGGGGGTCTCAAAGGACACAGTCTAGGTGACCATGCCCTACAGCAGCTGGCACAGCCATCATACCACAGATGCAGGACAGGGAGGCAGGCCTGCGACCACAGTTCTGAGCTCCATTTACTATAAGAAGTAAATGCACCACCGGTGACAAATCAGATGAGGAAACCTAATATACAAAACAGATCAAAGGGGAGCTGGGGGAATCAGGGCCTCAGAGCCCTGTCCCTCCCCCTCCAGAGAGGCCCCTGAGAATCCTTCCAGAGCCTCTGGGATTCTGAGAATTCCAGCTGAGAATCCACTGGACCACGGGAAGGTGACAGGATGGTGCAGGTGACAGGATGGTGCAGGAGCCTCGTTATGTTAGAAACACCTTAACACCTGGGGAAGTTGAGTCCAGAACAAAAAGGCGTTGGGGAGGGGTGTGGTGGTTCCTGCATTAAGGTAAAGCCGGAGCTGTAGCAGACACACCTGAAATCCCTGTGGCTCACCCTGCAGCAGTGTTCTCACTGCGACCTCAAGGCCACAGAGTTGGGGAGCCTGACTCTCTGCCGGGGCCCAGGCCGTCAGAGCGCCTGCCAACTGCAACACATAGCTTTCAATGTCCCCAGGGCACCAAGTTCCCGCTGGAGCCAAGGGAAGAGAGAGCAGAGACTCTTGCAGGGGGTGTTACGGGCCAGGCCTGGAATTGGGGTACACACATCATTTGCACCCGCATTCCATGGCCGCTGTCACACTGCCACATCTAACTGCAGGGGCAGCTGGGAGACATAGCCAGGGTGTGCCAGGCAGAGAGGGGCTTCTGTGGGATTCGGTTGCCGTCCGGCAGCAGGAGAGGGGCAGGCCCGAGGAAGAGGGAACCCGCTGATGTGGGGGACCGTGGAGGGCAGAACCGGGCTCAGTGTGGAGGTTAAAGGGGACAGATGTAGGCTTGACAAAGGAAGGATTCTGACATTCGGCCTTCCCAGAAGCGTCGGGCACCTGTTAGAGGACAGCTGTCAGGGCGAGGAAAGAGGAGACGGGCACCGTACTCGCCAGGGGAGGGGCCCTCGGGTCAGTGCTGTCCAGCTTCAGGGTTTGCTGAGTCTTCATAAATAATGCCAATAACAGTGATGGCACCTGATGCTTAAGGCTTTAGCTTTCCAGTTCCTTGTCAAAAGGTCCAGTGTCAGAGGGTGGAGCCCAGGGAGGGACGAGAGGCCCAAAGAGGGAGATTTGCCCTGCCCAGAGCTGGGCTGAGGTCTGCTGTGCCCCGTCCTTCCCCGTCCCGGGGCCCTGGGAGACGGATCCCCTTTCAGGTCTGCAGCCCTGGCCCAGGAGCAGCCCCACCGCCCCAGAGCGTTTGGGGGCGATCAGAGTTACTACTACTTCACTGATCTCTCAGTCTAAGGTTACTGGGTCCTCCTGGGAGGCCACTGACCTTCAGAATCCATTGATTTCCTGAATCATTGATGAATCTTCCTGCAAAGAGATCCAGGGCTGGTGTGAGGGGCAGGGTCATGGTGCGGCTGAGGCCCACGCGGGAGCTCCTCTGCGGGGACGGCAGCCTGGGCCTCGAGCTCAGCTGCATCCCTCCGTTACTTGAGCTGTAACATGATTAGCCAAGTCATGATTTAAGTGGTGCCTCCAGGCCAGACCTTGCCCTGAGATAACGCAGCACCGAGTGCAGAGCACAGATGGGTGCCCCGACCCTACGTAGGAAAGAGCATCAGTATCTGTGCCCAGAGCCAATGTTCAGCCTGTGCACACCCAGAACACCTTACTGAAACCTGAATATACTTCCAGGCAAATACTGCTGACTGCTCAAGGCTTCTGAGTGTCCCTTCCTGTCTCCGAGTTCCAGATGCCAGGACCTCCCCCTTGGTCTAGCCAGTAAGGGTTTCTGCCAGGCACAGCCTGGGGCTTCAGCCTGGTGGTGAATTATTTTGAAGGTCTAGCCTTTGTCAAACCTCCCAGGGCAACATATGGTAGGAAGAGCTCTGGACTTAAACTAGGAGCTCTGGGCCACCCACCTGCCTCCACTGATCTTTCTCACTGAAGCTTTTTACTGCTGGCACCTGATGAAAGCAGGCTCCCCCACCCACCCCAGCAGCACTCAACCCAAGTCAAACGGGAGCAGGTGTAGAAATACCCCAGCACGACCCCTAAGTGAAGCTGCCTCTCAGGTGTGTCCCGCACAGTCTCCTGGAGGACCCCAGTGGAACTGAGCCCCAGGTGCCCCAGGGGGAACCCGTTCATAGGCACATCCTCAACTGGCTCCCTCCCCCCACTCCTCCCAGTACACTTTTGGGGATCACCACCACATAACTACCTACACCCCAATCCTTGTCTCTGGAGAAATCCAGCCTAAGGCAGAATTCTAGCCCTGGACCTCCTGTAGCCAATCATGACCTTGAGCATGTCCCTTTTCCCCAACCATGACCTTGAGCCTCTATTACTTAGATTTGTGAGAGCAAAAAAAGGTAGCATGCGCTCCAAATTTGTCACTGGATTGTGGTGAGAATCATTAGAAAAAAAATGGCTAAAAACCTTTCAACAAACGGAAAAGTACAAGCACCTGGGAACGTCACCATGCTGAGGGGTCTCCGTCTCAGGGTGGCAGTGGCAATAAATGACCTTCATGTCCTGCTCTGCTCCCCTAGCCATCGACTTTCTGGAGAAGATCCTGACCTTTAACCCCATGGATCGCCTAACAGCTGAGATGGGGCTGCAGCACCCCTACATGAGCCCATACTCATGCCCTGAGGATGAGCCCACCTCACAGCACCCCTTCCGCATTGAGGATGAGATTGACGACATCCTGCTGATGGCTGCCAACCAGAGCCAGCTCTCCAACTGGGACAGGTGTGGTTCCAGAAGGTGCCAGCCCTGAGTACAGAGCCCACATTCCTGTCCTCCCACGTCTGTTTTGCCTGATTCTTTGTGACCTTTCCCTCTGTCTCCCACATTGTATAGCCCAGGGGCGCTTTCCCCAGCTTACCTTCCTGCCTTTCTCCTGTCCCCTGACACTCCCAGTATAGGGCCAGCCTGTCTTCCACGTGTGGGTCAGGGGCCCTCCTTTGGGCACACAGCGACCACCAGCTTCCCTCCCACCCTCCTGCACTGGGCTCATGCGATGTTCCTCAAGCACTGAATGAGTACCCCCTGGAGGGGCTGACTTCCAGCAGGCTGGGAATTTGCCCTGGAAAAGTAAACTGCGGCAACACACAGCAAGAAAAGAGTGCAGCACATCATTTGTACTTCCGTAGGGAGCCATTAGGGGAGGTGCCATTGTTGGTATTGCCCACGGGCACATGAGGAAGCTACAGCTCAGAGAGGTTAGAGATTGGCATCGTGCCGCCCATCCAATATTTAGCCCTTCTGGGGTCCTCCCTAATCTGCATCCACTGCTAAGCAATCACAGGACTCTTTCCTGCTAAACTGAGCTGAGCATTAGAATCCTTCTCAACACAGTGTGCCCTGATGTCACTACCAATGAATCAGAGTTGAGTAGAAGATACTTTTTTAAAAAGATACTTTTAACAATCTCCAGGTAGGTAAGGCCGATAATGGTCTCTTAGGTCTTCCTATTCTGAAGTTCTTAGATCACACAACTAAACATTTGGGCATCACCACCTGCTAGTCCTGGGAGGGACAGCTGACAGCCGCTCAACTTAGTAATAAAGTCAAGGGCTTAGCAGCTAGGACTCCGAGGGGCCTAAGTGGGAGCCCCACTGTGGTGGGAATGTGACAGCTAGTTACATAAGTGACAGATGAGCAGTTCCTCCTTTTCAGTCACTTGACAGATAATGGGTTTCAGATTAAGGAGGCACCAGGGGAAGGTGCCACATTGCTATTTTGGACAGGTTTATTGGTTTGCCTACGTCAATTGTTGTTATCAAGAGTTGCCAGCAAATAGAGATTAATGAAGACTTTCTTCTGTTACCCACTGTGCTTGGCCTGCCCTTGACTGTGGTCCCTGCAGCACCCCCTCCCCCACTTCATAGCATTTGGGGTCTCAGCGAGGTTCACCCTGTGCTAAGCATGGCTATGGCATGGGGTTGGTGCCAAGAAAAACCGTAGCAGGGTTTTTTTGGCCGCTGCCCATCAACTCTGACCACTTCCAAACCTGGGGCACCCGGACTCCCAACCTTCCTCATCATACCCGTGTGAGGGAGGCAGGCGACAAAGGTGATGGCAAACACCTTCCTATAGGCCCTGCTGCTTTGGGCAAACTACTTAACCTCTGGACACCAGTGTCCTCATCTGAGCAGGTGATAACACTGAGTCCACAGGGCTGCTATGAAGCCTACAACTTACGCTTGGCCCTTGGTATGTAGCAGCCAAGGGTTAGGCTCTTCACAAGTTCTTCCTCCTAAAAATATTTGCAATTTTGAGGACCCCGGTGGGGGGGGCAGTGTTCACCTCTGGGAGTGACCCCTGCCCTAAAGCATCACTGGGAGGGCAGGCAGTACTGGGGCCTTCCCAGGCCTCACAAACCATGTCATGTGGGCTGCTGTCCTTGGTGTGTTGGTGTTTCCTGGGTGTGCATTAGGTGAGCAGCAGGCTGCTGGCTGTCGCCTCCTCTGCACTCCCTGCTTTACCTGCCCATCCCCCCAAAGGTTCTGCATAGAGCACCTGGCCCAGGGAAGGGAGGGCTCAGCCCGAGCTGAGGGCTGGCCCTCCCTCCTTCCTTCCTTCCTGCCTGCCTGCCCTTCATTTCCTCTTGGCTAGCTGACTGCTTTCTACGGCTGCAGGCCGTTGACAGAGGGCAGAATACCCAGGATCTCTGGCCTCTCCTGCAGGGTCCATAATCTTCCTGTAGGCCCCACCTGCTCTGCATCCATGCACTGTGCGGTGCTGCAGGGCATCCAACCAGACCCATGAGGGCAGGAGTTCTCCGCCCTGGCTGTACCTTAGAATCACTTGGTGAGGTTTTAAAACCATGCTGATGCAGGACCCCGCCCTAGACCTACTGAATTGGAACTGGGGTGTAGGGCAGGCATGGGATTTTTTTTTTTAAATTCCCTCGGGCGATTTTCATGTGAGCCAGGGCTGAGAAGCACTCATTAGGGCCGTTATTCAGTGTGGTCCCTGGATCAGCAGCAGCAGCGTCAGGTGGGAGCCAATTACAACTGCAGAACTCAAGACCCCAGCTCAGGTCTGCTGCACGGAGAGTTTATTTAAGCAGCTGATTTGTGTGTACGTCCCAGTTTAAGGAGCCCTGCATAGCTGCATCCACTGGAAAGTGACCTTCCTGAGGACAGCGATTTTGTTCTGTTTACTGCTGTTTCCAGTAATGCCTAGAACAGCTCCTGGTACAGAGTAGGTGCTCAAGAAATATTTGTAGGTTATTGAATGAATACAAAAGAATCCAAGGGTTAAGTCAAACAGTCCCTCTACCTGAGCACTGGAGGCTCACCATTACTTTGTCCCAACACCCTCCCCCCTTGGAGCAGGGTGGGCAGGAGTCGGAGGGACTGGACTGGGGATCCCATCACCATTCCGTCTGTACCCTTGCAGGTACCCTGTGAGCCTGTCATCCGACCTGGAGTGGCGGCCTGACCGGGGCCAGGACGCGAGCGAGGCCCAGCGGGACCCGCGCGCGGGCTCGGCGCCGCTGGCCGAGGACGTGCAGGTGGACCCGCGCAAGGACTCGCAGAGCAGCTCGGAGCGCTTCCTGGAGCAGTCGCACTCGTCCATGGAGCGCGCCTTCGAGACCGACTACGGCCGCTCCTGCGACTACAAGGTGGGCTCGCCGTCCTACCTGGACAAACTGCTGTGGCGCGACAACAAGCCGCACCACTACTCGGAGCCCAAGCTCATCCTGGACCTGTCGCACTGGAAACAGGCGGCCGGCGCGCCCCCGACCGCCGCCGTGGGCGCGGGAGCCGGGGCGCGCGACGACGAGCCGGCCAGCCTCTTCCTGGAGATCGCGCAGTGGGTCAAGAGCACGCAGGGCGGCCCGGAGCGCGCCAGCCCGCCCCCGGCGGTGCCCGAGGGCCGCCTGCCTGCCTCCCCACCTGGCCTCCCCGCCGCCCACGACAGCGGCGCCAGCCCCCAGTTCGACCTGGACGTGTTCATCTCCCGCGCCCTGAAGCTTTGCACCAAGCCCGAAGACCTGCCAGACAACAAACTGGGCGACCTCAATGGCACGTGCATCTCCGAGCACCCTGGAGAGCTCGTGCAGACGGAGGCCTTCTCCAAAGAAAGATGGTGAGGGCGGAGGGGGCGCCCCGGCACCCCCCACCCTCTGCAGGAGGCCACCCAGGAGGGCCAGGCCTGGCAGGAGGCGGGAGCCTCCCTGGCACCTCCACCACCCCGGGGGTTAGCAGGACACAGGAAGGATCGGAGGAGCGAGAGGAATGTCCATTTCTTAATCTGCCTTAATAACTAGCCTTTAACCTCTGGGAGCGGGATTAAATGGGAGCCTAGTTTGGGGGTTGATCACTTTCCCAGGGAAGAGGAGGACCTTGCGTTTTATAAGTAGTGGCTGCAGGAAGAAACGTGTCTTGGACGGCAGTCCCAGGCCCTGCCTCGGTGGGTAGAGGCAGAGGAATCTTGCAGGCATGGTGTTGAAACCAAGTAGCCCCAATAGCCTCATCTGACAGATGAGGAAAGGGAACCAGAGAAGCAAAGCCCAGCCAGCGTCAGGGCGAGCCTTGACTCCGTCTCCCGCCCCGGCCAGTGTCTGTCCACCAGACAGTCTTCCTCTGCTGGGGTCCCACTGGCTTTTCAGTCGGAAAAGTTAGTCAAGATGTATCTTCCCTGTCCATTACCATCTGACCCATGTTACGTTCTTTTATTCAGAGCGATGTTTCTTGTATTCCAAAATTGGAAACTGAGTCCGTTTCTTTTCCCTAGTCAAGCATATTTTTTTCTGGTGCCTCAAGTCCATAAATTTTCTCATTTGCCACGGCCTGGATTTGCCTCGCTCCTGCATGATCTGAAATCCTTGTTTAGATCAGATCAGTTTGGGGTCTGGGGGTAAAATAACTCATTCTCCCGGGCCTGTGCACACACCTCCTCCAGAACTCCTTATGCACTTTCTTGACACATGCGTAGACACAGACACAGCCCTCGTTCCCAAGGGATGTCATATATGGGTGAATTTGAAGATAGCAAGTCCATGAATCCCTCCAGAGCCCCCCGCCCCCCTCAATGAGGTACTCGCCATAGAGCAAATAGGTTAGGAGAGAAGATGTCAGATGGGTCCTCTCAGGCTTCATGAATACTGCCCTTCATTTTGATCATCCATTTAGCCCTGGCAAAGAGCAGGCCCTAAAGAAGTGCACTGGAAGGCAAGTGGCCTGGGGACAAGGAATCGAGAAAGGTAGGAAGGTGTGAAAGGTGGGGCGTCAACAGTGAGGGCACTCAGGGGTCAGGCAGCAGCATGGAGACCTCAGGACAAAGGAAGGGACCCCCAGCAACCACGCCCCTCCTAGCTTAGGCCAGGATGAGTTTGGAGCATGCAAACCCAGAGGTGCACCGGCACACAGAGCCTCGGTGATGGTGTGTGGGCACAGCAGCCCCTCTGTAGAAGCATAGTCCAGGCCCCTGGAATGCTGTGCCATTTCCATCACTGGTGTTCAGCTCCCCCCACCCTCTCCCCTCAACATGCCCAAAGATACCCACAGGAAGTCTAGCCACTCTAAGCAGAGGATCCTTCATCTTGGTCTTGGCTGTGTTCACCTTCACCTCAACAGCACCTTAAATCTAATGAGCTAACTAGCATTTGTACATTGAAACCTGCAACATAGTAGACACTTATATTTAAAAACAGAATTAATCACACTGACCAATTTTTAAATGGAAACTATGTAAATATGAAGTATTTGGTTTTGTCTTTATTTTAAAGAAAAGGACATGTATACTGCTCATGTGCCGTTTGTCCTCAGATGGCGGCTTTACATTTTTGGTAAAGGAACAAGCTGCTGACCTTGACCGAAGTTCATATATAATTGTTATTACAGAGGAATTGTTATTACTACTCATGTTTTAAAAAAAATCTATTAAGCATTATTAAACTTGATCAGGATGGGCCAAATAAAGTTTTATTGGAACATGGATTCATTTGTTCATTTACATGTTATCTCATTCATTTATGTATTATCTGATCTTGTCTTTGGTGGTGGGTGATTCATCAGCCTGGCTGATCTCTCCCCGTACCCATGAAGGCCAGTGTTTTGAGCCACTGCAGTTGGAGGGGAGGGGAGATGACAACCTACACAGATTGGTCGTCAGGAAAGTGATTTCAGACACACCTGGATCTGGCCTGGTGTTTATATTGTAGATTTCAAACCATATCTAGGAGCCAATTCCAAACCTTCTGACCAAGACTCATCCCTTCCACCAGTGACAAAAGGTGCCAACTTCATGAGATTTGGGGGAGCTCCAAAATACCTGCCTGAGCCACACCCTATAGAGACCCAAGATTCCACCCACCTGAAGTTCACATTTTTGTAATACCTGTGTCAAAGCGTTAGCCCAAACCTCATTCGTTATTCAACAAAGATAAATGCAGACAATAGAGAGGATTTTAAAACTTGGTTCTGTTTATTTTGACTTCCCTGAAAGACCTTTGATTAAATGAACTTTCTACTGTGGAAATGCATCTGAGCCGAGAGGAGCACCCTGTTAAGCCAACTGGGATTCTCTCCAAAGTGTCAGCTTAGAGGAACTAACTCCCAGCTGGGCAGATGCAAATAAAGAGAGTGGCCCAGAGCCAGGGCAGAGTCCTGGTTGAAATCTTATATTTGAGAAGGCTTGCAGTCTGCTAGAAAATGGGGTTTGAGGCAGGAGTGGAGAAGCCCCAATAGCCAACAGTGCCCCAAAGTGTCTCCTCCCAAAAGAGCTGCACGGGACATACTTAATTCTCCCAGCAGCAATATGTGACAACACGTGTTAAGCATTATCACCCAGGGAACCTCACCTGAGCCCTGGTGTCCAGAGTTTTTATTAGAGACCAGCCATGTGGGACTCTGCAGCTGATCAGAATTTCTCAGTCTCCAGTCCCTCAGAGATCAAACTGATACAGCATGGTCCAGGGCCTCAGACTTGCAAAAACACTCTTAGCAGGCAGGATATTACAGGTGCTCAGAGGTTATCTCCTAGGAGACAGTGAGGGTCAGTCCTCTGAAGATCCGCCTTCCTTTAGAATGTACCAGGTTTGAGAGACTGGGAGCTGCTGAGTTAACCCTCTACTGACTTTGAATATAGCTTTGTCTCCTGTGATTCCAAAGTTGTGCAGAGTGTGTCTTGTGAACATTACAGCAAAGCTGAGGCAACCCAGCTATCTTATTTGGTGGAATATGCCTACACATTTTTAAGAATGTGCAGTATTATTAAAATATAATAATAATAACAACATGCATGCTGAAGCGGGTGTTAGGCAATCTAACACCTGAGATGCCTTTTCTTATCGAATCACGGTCTGTCCGTGAAAGCCAGGCTAGCTTGTCAACAGATTTACAAGCTAGCTCACTGATTCTGTCACTGTGGTTATTACCACCAGGGCAATACTGGCACGTGAATGATGGATTGCTTTAGGAAGCTGTGATTTCCAGCTACCCCGAGCTGTACTGGAACACCAAGCCGAGGGCTCCAGGTTCTGTGGCTGAGGGAGCTCTGGTGTGCAGCTGCCTGAGGGATGGCCACAGGAACCCAGACAGAACTGCAGTGCCAACCACCAGGCCGAGCCATGCCCTGCTGCAACCCTCAGAAGATGGCTTTCTGGGGGCTCTGGAGGTGGGAAGAAAGAAGAGGTTAGACTCCTTTTTTATGGGCTCCAACCAGTTATGATTAGAAGGTGTGATGATTAATTTTATGGACCAACTTGATTGGGCCTAGGTGCCTTGATATTTGATCAAACTAATGTTTGATCTGCATGTTTCTGTGAGTCTGTTTGGATGAGACTAACATTTAAAGCAGTGGGCTTTGAGTAAAGCAGATTGCCCTTCACAATACGGGTGGGCCTCACCCCATCAGCTGAAGTCCTGAATAGAACAGAAAACTGACCTCCCCTGAGCAAGAAGGAATTTTGCCAGCAGATGACCTTCAGACTTCAACTGCAACATCAGCTCTTCCCTCCCATCTACAGATTTCAAGTTTGCCAGCCTCCGTAATTGTGTTAGCCAATTCTTTAAAAATAAATCTCTCTCTCTCTCTGCCTCTCTCTCTGCCTCTCTCTCTCTCCATATACACACACACACACACACACACATATACATATATACATATATGTGTGTATATATACATACATATATACGTGTGTGTGTGTGTATATTAATTTATAGTTGTTTTGGTTTGGGGTGTATGTGTGTCTGGAGAACCCTGACTAATACAGAGGGGCAGGCCTTTATATGTGCCATCTATTTTAATCTAACAACTGAAGAGGCAGATGTCATTACACCCATTTCCCAAATAAGAAAACTGAGGCTCAGAGAAGTTAAATAACATATCCAAGGTCAGCATAACATAGGGATTCAGGGCAAAGAAATAGACCAACCCAGACAGCCTGGGCTGAAATTCCATTTCTCCCACTTACTAGCTGTGTGACCTAGGACAAGTTACTTAACTTTTCTATGCCTGTTTCCTCATATGCAAAATGGGGGTAATAGTAACAATACCACCTATCTCATAGAATCATTATGAGGGTTACTAAATTAAAATATGTAAAGCACTTTGACCAATACAGTATTTGGCATGCAGAAAATGCTATCCTATAAGGTCTGATAAATAATTAAAACAAACAAGATTATACCAATAGTAAACAATGAACCCAGAATTCAGACCTATTGACACTCCCAATATTGTGTGTTCTCTGGGGTTTTTATATTACATCAATCCTCTTCCCAAATCAACCACAGAAACAGCAGCCTTTGGAGTACTTGCCCAGCCCACACCCTCTCTTCTCTGAGAAGCACGTTCTCTCACCCACAGAGAGGCCCCTGCCCCCAGGTGTGTACCAGGGTGACCTTCCTCCTGCACAGCGCTCACCCCCACCATAGTGGCTGGACCAGGGCGGACACCTGACCCAGGTTAGGCTGATCATATTCTCTCTCCTGGGAATTCAGATCTATGACGCAGAGATGCTTGTCGGCCTTCGCTATTGCTTGAACTGAGGATAAGCCAACTTTGGAACTGTGGGGTGACCAAGTTTATCATGTGTCCTTAATCACAGAGGGAGCAGAATAAAGGAGAGAGAGAGAGACAGAGGGAAGGAAACCGCCCTAGTGCTGCTGGTCAGGTTTCTTCCTGCTTTCATCTGTTGCTGTGACCAGACTGCACCTCCCCCCGAGTTCCCATCAGACACCCCACGGCCTTAGTATAACTCCCCTTTGTGTGCATCTCCCTTGAGTGGACTCTGTTACTTGCAACTGAGAAGAGCCGAGACTCGGCTGCCTTCCTTTGGCCTTGCCTTGGAGCAGGAACCCCATACTGAGCACCCTTCCCTGACCTGGGTGTGGGGGAGCTTTACCCTCAGCATCCATGGACATTTGGGCATAGATAGCCCATCACAGCAGCCCCCTGTGAGCAGGGCTCTGAGAAAAGGGAGGAAGCTGAGTAGTTCCACAAGGTGAAGGGCTGTTGGAAGAATTTAGACAAAGGCCACATCTGGGCCAGTATTGGATGGAGCCAACCACGGGAGGGTAATGAATGCCAGGTGGGAGGGAAAGATGTGGAGGGACCTCAGAGGGACGACCTCACCTCCTCCACAATTCTGCTTGAGGTTGACCCGATCTGGGCAGGAAAGAGGTCAGTCAATGCCAAGAGAAGTCCCTTTAGCTTAGCACATACACGGGTTCTGACATTCTCACTAGGAACAGACATCCAGAGACCAAGGACATCAGGTCATTGGTGTATTTAAACTTCCATCAAAATCTGTGAGCATGAGAGTTTATCTGGCCAACAAATATCCCTGACCATAGGACAGAGAAGAGCCACAGCTGTTTTTACCAAATGGATCACATTAAATTAATTACATTACTACTGGACAGCTCATGCAATGCCCTCAAGGATTTAAATAAAATCAGAGATGTTAGAGCAAAAAGAGACATTCTAATGCATCCAACCGTTCACCCTAGAAATCAGGTTGTAAGTTCAGAGAGGCCAGGTGACAGGGACAAGGTCACATATGAAGCTGGTGACTCCTGGCCTATAATCTACTTCTTTTCTGCAGCAGGATGCCTTACCGTGGGACCAGCGGCATTCACTGTGATCGGCTATTCAAAAGCCATTTCCAACAACTTGTCTACCTCCCTCCCGAGAGGCTGAAAACCGGATGACTTGTGACTGGTCAGAATGGAGATGCCCTGTGTCAAACACACACCCGATCGCAGAGACTTAGTACCCCCCGAAAGAATGTAAAATAGCTTATTCATCATTATGTATATCGATTACATATTTAAAATTATAACATTTTTATATCTTGTATTAATAATATAAATGGAAACTTTAACCACGGAGCTACACTGGCTAGGGCTGGGTAGAGCATTGGCCTGTACACGGAAGGGTCCGGGTTTGATTCCCAGTCAAGGGCATGTACCTGGGTTTTAGGTTCAACCTCCCCCCCAGTTGGGGTGCGTGTGTGGGAGTCAACCAATCAATATGTCTCTCTCACATCAATGTTCCTCTCCCTCCCCCACTCTATCTAAAAATCAATGCAAAAGATATCCTTGGGTGAGGATTAACAACAACAAAAACCAAAGAATTAACTTCACCCATCTCATTTTACTTTGTTTAGTGTGGCTGGCTATTACAAAGGTTTTAAATTACATGGATGACTCGAATTATACTTCTATTTAACAGCATAGTTCTAGAATGCTATGAGCTGATTAAGGCCTTAATCCTTTTACAATAATATTTCATTTCAGCGAGGTCTTCATCCTCTCGTACTGAAGGAGTGATCCTCACAGGAGAACTCAGGCTCATGCAGTCTTTGTGGGCAGGTCTCTTTCAAATCAAATTGATTTATAAAAACATTGGTCTCTTGTCTTAAAGATTGTTTGCAAACCCACTCAAACTGCCCTAAACAA